CCTTCTTCCTTGCCCTCCCTATGATAAAGTGGACACTTTATAAGTTATGGGTTTAATACCTGCCTGTAATAGTAAAATTTTAGGAACCACTTGGTGGCACCACCACCACTTATTACTGATAACGGTTTTTAATAGTCTCATAGACCCATAAAGTTTACTGAGTAATAATTTTCGAAACATACTTCAACGTAGTTTACGCGTGTGCAATATTTCAGTTTACAATCGTTAGAGTAACCATATTTCAGGTTAGCTCATTGGCCCTGTCATATTCTTGAGGTCCTTGAAAGAGGTGAAAAGGTATTCTTCTTAGAGTCATTAACCTTTTCCTACTACGTGTTTGTTTAACTGGAATAAGATGATAGGGTAATTTATTTCTAATTTTTTCTGTTAAAAAAGAAATATTTTTTTCTTCAGGTGAGCCTTACTGCCTCTGAGTGTCTGATTTATTATATAATTAATTGTCACATTAATTATCCAATGATTAACCCTTAATTATCTGAAATGAAGTATTAAAAACAGTACTGCCTCTGAGTACTCTCAGTTCTTTGATGAATTTCCTTATTGGCTGCTAGCTTCTACGGGCTTAGTGGCTGCTGTTATTGGCTGCTAGCTTCAGCCTGGTGTTTGATAAGGATGTTGTGATGACACCTTAAAAACATGAAATGAATACAGAAAATAAGAAAAATATCACGATATCTTTAGTATACAATGGAAATATAGTTTTCTTAGCGAAGTCTTATTGATCGAGTCCCCAGGTAATACAAAACATACGGGCAAACTGCTAATGTAATAGCAAAAGACGCTGTTACTGTCGACCTTCCATATAAGATTCTCTATTTAGTTGAATGATGGTGATAATACTGTCTGTTACTTGCTTAAAAAATCTTCAGAAGATTGCATGTGTGTGCCAGATTGGGTCCTCAACTGTTTATGGAGACTCAGGTATGTAAATCAATGGAATTTCTAAATTTAAGTGGGACTTATCCAACTTTATTTTTAGCAAAGATGAAACGTGACGCTGTTTTAGACACTTTGACGTTATAATCCGTGCGCCGTAGGGCGATATAATACATAGCATAAAACCTCACAATTTGTTTATTTATACATATATCTATTTGAAATTTGCTCTTGTATTCATAATATATGTACGAAAGAGTAGTGAAAACTTCAGAACGCGGTGATGATTATTATTCAAACTAGACATCTTGTCAACGATTTACCGGACAACCCTCGTACATAGTATATACTATGTATATATTTTTTAAAAAATATTACTTTGATTTCAAATACATGTAAATAATTTTATTTGGTTCCAGAGCAAAGTTTTTAAATGAAAAAATTACACTTTTTCTGATTTAAAACGAACTTGACATTAAAACCTTTTCCCTTTCGAGTTATGGCAAAACTACCTTAGCGTCATGCCAAGACGTTTGTCTATGACTGAGGAAATAGCAGTGGTGTGCATGATAAAGCCAGCCGTGGTCACATCCTGAAATAGAAAATTATTCATATTATCAGTAAAAAATTACCTAAATCTTTGTTATTGTGAATTTTCATCATTTTCATTATTTTTTTCAAAAAGTAACAACTTTGTATTTTTTTTAGATCATGGGTATCATCATTTCAAGTACTTATAAATCTACAGATAATTGGGTTTGTTATGAATTGCTCCTTATCTTAAACTTTTAAATTTGTCTGAATTTAATTGTTTTATCTTCTTTTGAACAAAATTATTATTAACACAGAGAATTTCATGTACCGGTAACAAAAAATAATTGTTTCTCTCTTGAAAATTTAGATGATCAGATACCCCGGTAGTACCTAGAACTTTTACTTGGAGAAAAGTGTCTTGGACAGTCATATTTTCCCTTCATTTTTTAATGATTGATTCATTGTAAATTGGTTTACGTCACATTCGAGAATCTTTTCACATATATATAGACGTCATTATACCCAGTGAATGACTTCAAATTTAGACTTATACAGGTTTGGGGGAAACGTAAATTCCGCTATAATAGTGGTATTTCACTATTATTTAAGAAATGAATGTAATATTTTTTCCTTTGATCGATGTATCAAAGAAAAATTTGGACGGAAAACTTCATCAATGCGCGTAGCGCATTGATGAAAAAGTTTTCCGTCCAAATTTTTCTTTGATACATCGATCAAAGGAAAAAATATTACATTCATTTTTTATCATTTAATTATGATTTTAAATAAATAAAACGAAACTTTCTTTCACCTTTCTATTGAATTTACGCATCAAAAACAGTGCGCACGAATACATCACAACAACGTTAACGTTGCTGAAATTCAAAATGGCTCAAACGAGGAAACGTTCTCAAATATTGTCGTGGCATTACCAACATTCTCTGAAATAATTTACAGTTCTTTAACACAAAAAAACTTACTTGTTGTGTTATCGCAATCGGTATATTTTCCCCGGTAAGTTATCGAGGTTTTGTAAATGTAAAGGGAAGCTACTCAAATATCCTAACAGTTCGAACATTAACGTACGTTAGGTCACAGAAATTTTGGATTCCTGGCGGGATTTCTATTTGCACATCTTTTCATCTGAATATTTTATACGTATATTATAAATACGTATCACAACCTGTCAATGCTGTAAAACCTGAAAGAGTCTGCTGTCGACTGTGTAAGATTAAAAGAATATGTCCTCATTCATGCAGTGTCGTTTTTCTCGATCATTCGTTTCCCAAAATTTAACAGATTAACGGTTTTCCTCTCTTTGGTAGCATAAAAAAACGTTTCTTCAGAATTCTATTGTTCATACCAGACATCTCAAAGCCAAACATTTAACAAAATTATGTCGATTTCTCTCCTTCTTTCCCAAAACTGTACTGTTGTTATGCAGACGATTTGATTTGTTTAGCAAAGGGCGATAATTCAACAAGAAACGAAAGTAGAAAATAAGTCAGGAACATAACGGACAAATTTCGAAATTCAGGAAAATATTTATTAAAGTAAACTTATTTAATTATTCCTTCAAGAAGTAAGTAACCTGAAAGCGGGAAATATACAAGTAGAGACTGCCAAGTAGTTCCGGCTGCTTAGTGCAAGCGAACTCTAGATTTTATTGATGCAGGTATCAAAATAATTTTTCAACCAATCAGAATCAAGTATTTCATAGAAATTAAATGATAGTGAAATTACGCTATATTTCCCGTCGTGAATACCCTCAATTTCATCCGATACCATGCAAGGCGTTTGAACCGCAAGTCATGGTGGGTATTAAAATGAACAAAAACTGTCATGCTTACATATTTTGAATTTTAATAAATGTTCTACCGTTGCGTTTAATAATGCGAGCACTGTTTTTTAAACGGAAGTTGCATTTTTAACATAGCAACCGATGATTGCAGGGGTATCTAAGCCTGTTTGAATATCACTTATTGCTCATTAACGTGCACAAATTGATGCTTGCTACAATTGCACTGAAAAGGTTTTATGGAATTAAACAGTAAAAAGATTATTTCTGTCTGCATGGTTACGGGTATGGAGGCTCGTTATGGAAAACGGAAAGACACATTATGGCAAAAATAAAAAAAGAGTATAATGATAAACTCGATTTCTATCCTCTTAACAAAATCAATTTATAATAAATAATCAAAAAATTACTTTTTAAAAAATAAAAACGATTCTAGAAAATATATATAATTTTTAATTTCTGCTGGTTAATTGTTTATTTCAGAAAAAAAGACTCAGTTTATTTTGGTGTCCGGAATATTTGACAAGAGTGCCTGTAACCTTATTTTAACACATGTTCAAATAAATATGATTGGAACAATCTTTTTAACTCTGCACAAATGTATCTTATTTTACACTTTATGCTTATGCACTTAGGCAAGAATGATTTAACTTTAAAATCTGAGAGAAATAGCTATAGTTTTTTTCTTGCTATTTGAAAAATATTTATATCTAATTATATTCTAGGAAATGAAAGAATGTAGCAAAAAATCACACCAAAAGTATTTAAGAAATGAATGTAATATTTTTTTCCTTTGATCGATGTATCAAAGAAAAATTTGGACGGAAAACTTTTTCATCAATGCGCGTAGCGCATTGATGAAGTTTTCCGTCCAAATTCAATCAAAGGAAAAAATATTACATTCATTTCTTATCATTTAATTATGATTTTAAATAAATGAAACGAAACTTTCTTTCACTTTTCTATTCAATTTACGCATCAAAAAGAGTGCGCACGAATACATCACAACAACGTTAACGTTGCTGAAATTCAAAATGGCTCAAACGAGGAAACGTTCTCAAATATTGTGGTGGCATTTCCAACATTCTCTAAAATAATTTACAGTTCTTTAACACAAAAAAACTTACCTGTTGTGTTATCCCAATCGGTATATTTTCCCCAGTAAGTTATCTAAGTTCGTAAATGTGAAGGGAGGCTTCTCAAATATCCTAACAGTTCTAACGTTAGGTCATTTGCACATAGAATTCATTTGCACATCTTTTCAACTGAATTTCAAACCGAACATATAAATACGTATCACAACCTGCAGTCAATGCTGTAAAACCTGAAAGAGTCTGCTGCCGACTGTTTAAGATCCTCATTCATGCAGTGTCGTTTTTCTCGATCATTCGTTTCCCAAGATTTAACAGATTAACGGTTTTCCTCTCTTTGGTAGCATAAAAAAACGTTTCTTCAGAATTCTATTGTTCATAATGATACCAGACATCTCAAAGCCAAACATTTAAGAAAAGTATGTCAGTTTCTTTCCTTCTTTCCCAAACTGTATTGTTGTTATGCATGCAGACGATTTGATTTGTTTAGCAAAGGGGGTAATTCAACAAGAAACGAAAGTAGAAAATAAGTCAGGAACATAACGGACAGGTTTCGAAATTCAGGAAATATTTATTAAAGTAAAAGTATTTAATTATTTCTTCAAGAACTAAACTGGAAGTGGTAAATATATATACATGTAGAGACTGCCAAAGTAGTTCCGGCTGCTTAGTGCAAGCGAATTCTAGATTTTATTGATGCAGGTATCAAAAGAATTTTGAAACCAATCAGAATCAAGTATTTTATAGAAATTAAATGATTAATTTTTCAAGCTTTTAGAATTATGCCATTGTATTATTGTTTAAAACGCAAGGAAACTTCAAATAACCAATCACCACTGCTAGATGTGTCTAAAATATCTTTGACTCAATTCATATTTTCCACAATAAAAAATTGATGTAAAGATCAAATCGGCCGCAAACAATTTAGCATTTGATAAAGTACTATCACAGTTTTGAATGCATAACTATGCAATGGAAGTACAATATATTCAAAGCTGAACTAGAATCTCGAGAAGCGTATATTTTCATTTTCAATCAAATCTTTTAGCACTGACTTCATATGCGTCAGAACCGGGGGGGGGGGGGGGGGGGCTTAGCCCCCACTCCCCATTTTCCTTTTGCAGTGATAGACATTTCCTATGTATTGAAAATTGGGGTTTACCTTTTTTGTTGGTTTAACCCCCCCCCTTCAATTTGCTTCCGACTCCTATGGACATGATTACATCGATTAATCCATCTGATGAGCAAATGCACTTAAATATCTATGTGCGTACTTACTTTTAAAAACAAATATTTATTTATATTGCTTTGAAGACAGTCTGAAATAAAAATGACCGAACCACGTGTACCCTGGGTCCTGATCACGTGATAATTCCTATCGTTTATGCAGTATAGGTTATACCGCAAGGCGCTTTGCAAAATATTGAATCGAAATTATCCTTTTATCATTCACATCATTCGCAGCTGTAACATATTCAATTTTTATGAGCTGAACAGTTTTTAATTTTTATTTTAAACCATGAACTATATGTACCACGTCGTTGTGATGCAACCGGAAATTCATAATTTCCTTTTATTTCTATATAGTACCTTTTGTAAACTCTTTTTATATAGTCAAAAATTATCAAATATCTTGATGAGAAATAACAATGAAATTGAAACTTTATAACAATAATATTTTAATTTTGATTATTAAGCATTAAAAATATATTTTACTCATGATTTTCTACATGTTATCAATGAAGAATTATTATGCTGAATTATAGCAAAAATTACTTCTCAATTCCCATGTTCACTATCTAACACAACCATTCACAGAAAGATCAGCCGAGCGTTGCGATAATAATGGGTCTTTCCGTTTACCATAACGGGCCTCCATACCCGTAACCATGCAGACAGAAATAATCTTTTTCTTGTTTAATTAAAAAACCCTTTCCAGTTTAAGTTGACAATCGCAACAAGCGTCAATTTGTGCACATTAATGAGCAGTAAGTGAGATTCAAACAGGCTTAGATACCCCTGCAATCATCGGTTGCTATGTTAAAAATGCAACTTCCATTAAAAAAAAGAGTGCTCGTATTAATAAACGCAACGGTAGAAAATTGATTAAAATTCAAAACATGCAAGCATGACAGTTTTTGTTCATTTTAATACCCACCATGACTTGCGGTTCAAACGCCTTGCATGGTATCGGATAAAATTGAGGGTTTCCACGACGGGAAATATAGCGTAATTTCACTATAATAGTGAACTACCACTATTATAGCGGAATTTACGTTTCCCCCCAACCTGTTATAACTCGACACTCGGGGTAGTTTAACATTGAGTTTTTTTTATCGTTCCTACGCATTACTTAAGGTCTCATCATCCAAAAGACCCACCATTTTCACTTCAAAGTGCCGAACACTTGGCGCATACTATTAATAAATTCTACTAAAAAAAGAAGAAAAACAAATTTCAATTCAAATTAGTTATTTTTTTTACCTATATTCTTCCAGAACTCCCAACCAGATTGAACATCGTAGAGCATCGATTCGTTTGGATGATTTGTTGGAAGTTTACAGAATTTAGTCAAGGCGTTGTAGAAAATTCCTACACACTCAAGTTTGTCCATCAAGCATTTCATAGAGCATTCAATGTGGTCCATGTTCTCCAGTTCGGTAAGAAAGGTTTCTAGACTCGGCAGACGGTTGTCATACTCAGATAACTTAATCAGCTCGATCTTGTTCATATCTGTGTTACATCTTACAAACCACACAGTAAGGAAAGACAATAGTAATAAATTTAAAAGAAAGCAACGATATTCACTCTCTTTCATGATGCAGATTTTATACGTTAAAATCCTGTACCCTTCGATCCCTTTAACTTTCAACACAAAAACTCTGCTTAATACAGCCCAGTTTTTATGCCGAGAAATAGCATGACATATGCAACGGAAATAAATGATTTATGCCCTAATTGCAACGGTGAAACACATTATTTTTAAACGTATGAATATGGTAAAACCGCTTTGGATTAAACTGAAAGGATGCTTACAAATAAGAAAAAAGCCGATAACGAATTATTATCAATTATAGTTCTTTTGCTTATACAATCGTGAAATTCTGTCCGTGATTTATATTACAAAGAAATGGGGAAGACCTATACGGATCTAATAAATGTTTTAAAAGCTTTTAAATAAATGGTACTAAAATACTAAATTGTCACAACTCATTGAAGACACAGTTAGATCAACAAATGGTGATATCTAAATGATGATATCTAAAAAAAAAGTATATTTTTGCTTTCTTCCATTTTCCCACTTTTTCTACTTAATTTCCTTAAAACTTTTTATGTTTTTTTTACTTGTTGCGGTTGGTATTGTTAAAATATATGCGACTACCCCCCCCCCCCCCCGCCCACTCCTGCAAATATGATTAACACACCTGGTATGATGAAAGTTGAAAATAATAAACAATAAACATGCTTATACATCTGTAGATCAAATTATATTAGACTTTTAAAGGTGCATAGACACTTATTTGAAGTTAATATACTTGTCAAATTTTCTGTATAATATTACGGCTTATATATTGCAATAACATTTCATACAAAAATATAATAAATATCTTTTTTCATCTTAAAGTTCTTGACGGGTTTGATTACACATCCTTGAACTTTCACTAATTTAATTTTTTCTTAACACTTAGGAAAAGTGGCAATCTTGTTGTGTATTAATGAAAAATATTAAACTATTATACGAGGGGCGTTCAATAAATAATGTCATTGGGGCTCGGAAAGAAACAAAAAACGCTTTTCTATGACTTAGTCGTAATGATTTAACTAAAATATTCTCTTTCAATTCAAACGCATATCCGTGACATTTTCATTCAATTTCTAATTGTTTTTTGAACACATTTTTGAGTATGACCCTTCGTATACTGGAATATGGCAGATCCTATGATTTGCTGTACTTGTTTTTTTCTTTCTGATAGATGATTTTCTAAGTTTAGGAAAGTAAAGAAGTCAAAGGTTGAAAGATCTGGCAAATTTTGTTGGTGTGACAAAACATTGACTTTCCGTTTATCCCCAAAACTCCTTTACTCTTCATGGCCTGTGGGTTTGGGCGCCGTCATGAAGACATTTAATGTAGTGAATTCCTCATTCTGTTTCTTTCCTCTCATAAACCTTTCAATGTTTTTGCAAAAAATTGTTTTCTAGACTCCTCCAGAAATTGAATTCCTCCCCGAATATGAATTTGAAGAACGAGACCGCTAATATTTAATAAAATAGCATATAAAAATGTTTTATGCTCCTGCAATTCTTTGCTCTTCTTAGGCCTTTGCAGTTTTGTCAAGTGCATCTTATTTTAAATTTGTTTTGAGGGTTTAAAGCAAAATGGATTCAAGTTTCATGATCTGTTAGAATTTCATACAAACGTAGATAAGTACAATTTTTGATTTTTTAAAATAATTGTTTGGATATTCCTACACGCTGTCGTTTTCACTCATTTTTCAAAATATAGGGTGACCTTTGAGTATTAAACTTTTTTACTATAAAATGTTTCTTTAAAACAGTATGAACTATCCCCAAAATGATTTTTATCAATTTTTCTATGTGTCTTAAAGTCAATAAAACATAATCAGTGATAATTTCTTGAAATTTCGCATATTTACATCGGTTGTTGTAAGTCATTGTTGCCAAGGACGGTACCCATTTTTGATGCGCAATATCATTTTTGTTTATTGAAATCTACATGTTCACCTGTCTATAAAACAAGCATTGGTTGCTGTAAATTTCACATATTTCAGTTATCAATTTTTGGGATATCAACAAGTTTTACAGCTGCTTGAATGAAGCGTTTACTTTTACTCTAGTTTACTGATTCTTGACCATTCATTTTTAATGCAGTGTCTCGAATAGCCCTTGTTTTCCAGCTTCCCACGATAAAATAATGCGAAGAAAAGTGGTCACACAAACTGTTATCAATTCATTAAAGATTCAATGATTAGAGAAAGTCAAGTTTTATGTCATATGGCTACTATATTGTATGCCATCGAGCTAATGACATTATTTATTGAACGTCCCTCGTACAGAAAATTCAAAGTAGAAATGTTCGAAAGCAAAACTTACACACAGTATATTGTCAGTCCGTGCTCAGTGTTCTTTACAGAGTTTAAGAGAGTACACCCGTGAAACATAAACTGTTTTTCTAAACAGGGCACAAGCTCTGTTATTGTTAATGTGTACGATTCACCGGGTGTGTTCAATTGTTTAAGCCGGAACACACCAATGAGCACGGACTGAAAATATACCCGGTACTAAGAGCGCATTTTCCTTTCGACATTTTTTACTCTGAATTTTCTGTATTACAGTTTTATTATTTTTCATTAATACACAACAAAATTGCCACTTTTCTTAAGTACCGGGTATTAAGAATAAAATTATAATTTGCGAAAGTGCAGGGTCGACACAAATATAAATGTGATCAAAAGAACACAATGACAGGTTTTATTTGCTAACAAGGTCATTTTAACAACCACATAATTTATGAAATCCCTACCCTTAAACTGAGGTTGATGACAATCCTGTAACCTATCTTTCGGAAATCCTGTAAGATCAACTTATTATTCAGTAGCCTGTTTTGCTTTAAAAACTGTCAGTACTCGAACGATGCTCGTAAGTATCGAATAAGTTGAAAGATTTAAACATAATATGCAACATCGCCTCAAACTACGGTTTGGAGTCAGCATATAGCTCTCTTGTCTCCCAAAATGGGAGAGGATTGTATATCTTGGCCGTGAATTGCGACGATGAATATGCAGGTGGTACCGGGATGATATTGCATAAAAAACTTTGACGATAAAAAAGTTGAAATCGAATCTTTTGTCACACAGTTTTGTTGTTAGTTGGCCTTTATCCAAATGAAAAACAGCAGGACTTGGTGGTGTTCTTCATTCTGAGTTTACTGGGTTATATCGAATCGTCATATGATTGAAAAGTAACTATTATTAATTGATAATACATCGTCGATATATCTTAATGTCGAGATGAAGGACAAAGTTAGTGGTTTTTAATAAAATCTACTGCATATAAATGTAAAAAAAAGAGCAGCTTATAAAGGGGCACAATTATTGAGCTATAGCTCTGAAAGTACATGTAAATATTGGCGAAATTAAAAAAAATATGTAGAATTAATTTTTTATTTTTTATATTCTAAAAGATTTAGTTTTTTATGCCCCCATAATCAAAGATTTTTGTTTTTGTTGTGTCCGTCCTTCCGTCTGTTATTCTGTCTTTTTGTTTGTCCGCAAAAACTTTCAAATTGCCCATAACTTTTGATTTAGTGGAGATATGACTCTCATATTTCACATGTGTATTTGTTGTGACAAGAACTTTCTTTGGATACCACCAAATTAGCATTTTGACCTTGACCTTGGAATTTCACCCATTTTTCCACAAAAAAATTTGAAAACTTTTACTTTTTCAAACTTTTTCTAACTTTTGAAGGGTAGATTCTAGGACATTCATATTTCACATATGTATTTTTTGTGGCAAGACCTTTCATTATATATCAACAACTTTGATATCTTGGCCTTGGATATTTCTATTCATATGAAACTTATGAAAATTCTCTAACCCTGGTCATAACATTTGAACGGTAAAGGCTAGGGCTTTCATTCTTTACATATGTAATCCTTCTGAAAAGAACTTTCATTGGGTACCAAGAACTTTGAACCTCTGACCTTGACCTTGGAGTTTGACCTACTTTAAAAAAACTATAATTTTTGAAGGACTTATAACGGCTTTCATACTTTATATGGATATTTAATCCTTGTGACAAGACCTTTCATTGGATATGTAGAACTTTGACCCTTTGACCTTGACCTTAGAGTTTGATCTACTTTTCAAAAACTTTAACCTTGGCAATAACTTTTGAATAATCAGAGCTAGAGCTTTCAAACTTCACATATGTAATACGTGTGACAAGACTTTCCTTAAGAAACCAACAACATTGACCCTTTGACCTTCACCCCCTGAAGTTTGACTTACCTTACTAAAACTTATCCTCAACTTTAACTTTTAAACAATTGGTGTCAGGGCTTTCATATTTCACAATCGTATTTCTTGTGAGAAGACCCTACTTTGGGTATATATATATATATATATATATATATATATATATATATATATATATATATATATATATATATATATATATATATATATATATATATCAATTATTCAATTTGCATTTAAGAAAAGTTTTGGCTATGTTGCTATCAGTGGCATCACAAACACATCTTGTTTTATTAATCAAAACAAGAAGAGCACTTATGAAAATTATTTATTCACAGAAACTTCAGTTATTTTATTTTCTTGCAAATGTAATTGCATTTCAATGAACAAGGTAGATCGTTCCACAATCCTTTTTCGTGAATAATTGCCACACAGTCTTCTCCTAATTGATCATTTGGTTCTTCCTCATTCCAATTCGAAAAATTCAGAGTAGATTTCATCTCACTCCTTATACCATCGTCTTTTTTTACATCAAATACCAATCCTCAGTTTTTCTGCCAGAATCTACTCTGCTCTGTTTTTTGCCAAAAATGATATCAACAAATATTTGAATTGAAAAGAGCATTTATTACAAATGCCAGTGAAATATACAGCAGTATTGTTTGATATTAAATATATGTTACACCTGTCACAATGAAAAATTAAAAACAACCAAAAAAGTACATACAAAAAAAATTGAAATGCATATCTTAAATTTGCCCTAATTAATATAGAACAACAATGCATATAAAACTCTATAAGTATGTACACAATAAAAACACACAGAAGCCTTCTGTATCAATATCGTTTGCACCAATCCATACGAATTTTGTAATAGCTGTTAAAGCTCGGCTATCTGGAAGTACAGATATACTTGTATATATTTAAATAAACAGATGTACGATATTTAAAATATGCAACGATTCATTTTTATGCATTGATGTTCATCCTTGGAATTCAAAGTTTTACAAAAGGAAAACTTTTCAAGATACGTTTATCAACTGAGTTTGGGTTTTAAGTGAGATTGTTTCTTTAGCGTCTTTTCGAGAAATATAATCTTCATATTGGGATATTAAAAATTTGCACATTTCAAACTGATTAAATAGCAGTGGTCTGCATAATAAAGCCAGCCGTGGCCACATCCTTAAATAATAAAAAGGGTTCACAATATTAATTTCATTGTTCACAAACCTTTGTTCTTGTTAATATTTTTAGACAAACTCTAAGGTACCCTCAATTGTGACTTGAAAAATTATCTTTTTTTCATTTTATTTATCTTCAGTGATTGGAATTCATATGATTTTGCACTTCATCTTCAACTTTTGAATTGGTTAAACTTCAATGTTTTATTTTTTTTTAAGAAAAAAAATGTAATCATTTTGAATTGTTCTAATGACCAGTCTGCATCTTACTTGATATTGTTGTTGTTTATTTTTAATTCATTCACAAGGAAGGAAGAGCTTTGTATCTTTTTGTAGTCTTTTTAAACAATGAGTGTCATCATTTCAAGAACCTCTTAATTCTTTTTAGCTTTATTGGCGATTTCATTTTCTAAGGTGAATGACAAACTCTACAGATAACTTTCAATTGTAACTTTATAAATTTTAATCTTATATATTGTGACTCTTATGATTTTGCAACTTATTTTAAACTTTCAAACTTTGAATTTCATTGCTTCACCCTTTTTGTTTTTTAGAGAAAGAAAAATTCTATCTAAGAGAGTTGTATAATTTGCCTCAGAAATCTACTGCAGAAATTTTGCTAAAATAGGAAAAACCAATAATAAATAAATTCTACAAATTCAATGATAAAATAAATCTTACCTATATTCTTCCAAAACTCCCAACCGGATTGAACATCGTATATAATGGATCCTGTAGAATGATTCGTTGGTAGTTTACATTATTTGGTCAAGGCGTTGTAGAAAATTCCTGCACATGCAAGCTTGTTTATCAAGCATTTCATAGAGCATTCAATAAGCCCAATGTCCTCCAGTTCGGTAAGAAAGGTTTCTAAACTCGGTAGACGGTTGTCGTACACCTATATCTTTATCAGCTCGATCTTGTTCATATTCGTGTTACATCTTACAAACCAAACGGTAAGAAAAGAGAATAGTAAAAGTTGTAGAAGAAAGCAACTATATGCACTTTCTTTCATCATGGTACAGGTATTATACATGTATGTAAAAATCCATTATTTTTAAAACGTCTGTATGTGGAAAAAACTCTATTCTGTTTACAGAAAGGATGCATAATATAAATAATATAAAGCTGATTAGCATGATTATCAATAGTTCTTTCACCATTCCATTATTTGAGAAAGGAATGGGGAAGATCTATATGGATCTAATAAATATTTCAATAACTTTTAAATCAAAGTTCCTAAAATGTCACGACTCACTGCAAACACATTTAGAGTGAAAATGGTTATATTTGAATGATCATATCTAAAAATTCAAAAAGGTATCATTTTGCTTTCTTGCTTTTTCTACTCATTTTCTTCAAAACATGTTACGAATTTGACACCGTTGGTAGTACATGTAGTAAAATGTATGCGACTACCGTACCCTTTTCCAAGACACCAGTAATAATGAAAATTGAACATTACAAATAGTAAACATGCTTATTGGTAAAATTACATTAGAAAAATTTAAAAAGAGCAAGGAGGGTACTATGAAAAAAAAAACACAGAAGTTGCATTAGTTTGTATTTAACATTGCCAGAGGTCTCCAATTCTTTTTCATGGGTTCAGTTCCCCTTTGTGACTCGCACAATAAAAGCTAACTCTGTTAAAAAAAATCAACTTATTTATTTTTTCTTCTTTAATCGTATAAAAAAAATGGTAGAAATTTGAAGTAATGCTCTATTGCTCTGGTGATTTGTTCATTTTTAAAATCTTAATAGTCTTAAAGATGTTGTAATTTTTCAGTGATATTACAAACTAGAATTTCTATTTCGGCAGTGTTATGTTTACACTAATTTAGCTTCACTTTCAAAGTTGACGTTGTGTCCAGTTGGTTATTCAAAAATATTCCTTTGATTTCTGGCAGTAAATGAGTGATTGTAAAAAGATAAGCGTTTCTGCTTTGCACAATATATTTATTTATTTCAAATACCAGTTCAAGTGTATTGATATCAATTTTTTTCTTTACGTTTCCGACTGAATCTATAAAACATTCATACACTGTGTCATATTTCGGCTTTAGTATTTCATCTTACCTGTATTTATCAATTAAAACAGTAAAATCACTGAAACAGATTTTTAAAAATAATTCAATTTATAATAATGAAAGCGTGTCAAAAGCAAGTTTACATGTCACGAACGTGTAAAAGAGACAACTTTTCATATTTATAAAACTCGTCATTTATGATAAATTATGATATCTTGCAGTTTTTAAACTGATTCGATTCTGTCTCTTTCAAAGTGATAAAATGATATGTTCAAATACACATTCCTTTATCAAAAAATGTATATTGTTTTATGTTCAATTTAATAGAAACAGTTGCCCTATCTATTTATACAATTATTGTAAAAATATAAGAATTGCACATTTTAAATCAATTTGTCATTGTTTTTTTCACAATACCGATTTGATTTATTTGACTTTCCAAAATACAAAGGAACTTACGTCTATGCAAAAAGGTGAAGATAACAAACACTTAGCAATTTTTAAAAAAATCTTTTAAAAAAATACAAATCTGTGAATATTGCATAAACAATGGTCCTTTGAAATTCCAGAGGTGGGATCGGGTGCGTAGGAGGAGTAAGCTTCCCCTGTCAACCGATAACCTTTTGCATTGTGCCACATGTATTGATCAATTACACCAATCATTCCGTAATCAAATTAAATGCGCCACAAGGTTGACACAATGAAAAGTGCTATCAAATTGACACAATGAAAGTTAAGTTCATTTTAATGACCACAGAATTTATTAAAATCCCGAACTTTAAACTGAAGTTGTTGAAAATCCTGTAAGATCAACTTATTATTCGGTAGCCTGCTTTGCTTTAAATACTGTCAGTACTCGAACCATGCTCGTAAGTATCGAATAAGTTGAAAGATTTAAACACAATTTGCAATATCGTCTCAAGTCACGGTCTGGAGTCCGCATATAGCTCTCTCCTCCCAGAATTAGAGAGGATCGTACATTTTGGCCGAGGGTTGTGACGATGAATGTGAGGAGATAGAGAGATAACATTGCATAAATAAATAAAACGTTGACGAATGAGAAGTTGTAACAAATCGTTTGTCAAACAGTTTAGTTGTTATTTGGCCCTTATCCAAACATCAGGGGTCTGTGGTGTCCTTCGTTTTAATTTCACTGAAGTATATCGAATCGACATATGAATGAAAGTATCTTTAATTGTTAATTGATAATACATCGTCGACATTTCTAAATGTTGAGATGTAGATCACAGTTAGTGTTTTTATGCAGTTTTTCAATAAATTATGTTCAATGGAAATGCAAAAAAGAGCAACTTATACAGGGCTACAATTATTAAGCTCTAGTTCTGAAAGTAAGAATTGACAAAATAAAAAAAAAATATATGAAGAAAGAAAAATAAAGGACCGTAAATATTAGCAGTGAATTTTTATTTTTTATATTCTAAAGAGTTTTTTCATTATTCACAAACACTTCAATTAATTTATTTTCTTGCAAATGGAACTGCATTTCAACGAACAAGGTAAATCGTTCCACAATCCTCTTTCTTGAATACTTGCCACACAGTCTTCTCCAGAATCATCATTTGGTTCTTCCTGATTCCAATTCGTGAAATTCAGAGTAGAATTCATCTCACTCAAGATGAAGATGCCCTCTTTACCAATATCATTTGCACCAATCCATACGTGGTGAGTAATATCTGACCAGGTTTGGTTATCTAGAAATAAAGACGTCTTCTTAATAAACAGATGTACGATATTTATAATGTGCAGAGATTTATAATGATATTAATGTTCGCCCTTGGAATTCTAAGTTTTATAAAAGGAAAACGTTTCAAGATAGGTTTATTAACTGAGTCAGGGTTTTAATTGAGTTTTGCTGCATTAGCGTCCTTTCGAGAAATATAATCTTCATTCGGGATAGTAAAAATTTGCACATTTTCACCAGCAAGTGGTGGCGTTTCCATAAAAGTGAAAAATTCTCTAGAGAGGGACGTAAAGCAACAAACAAACCAAATACAGACCAATGATTTTGTCTGTAATCCATGTGTTCTCCTCGGCAGAGTTGATATCAGCCAGGAACGCTCCATTACTTTCACACTGAAGCTATGCGCGCGTGACAAAACAAAAGGTGAAAAATGCAAAATATTGATGAAAATATAAAAGATATATTATTGATGGATATATAATTTTAAGTCAGATAATATTGTTGACAAAAATTTATTGTACACCCTTTGTGTATATTCATTAAAAGTGTATTGCTATGGTATTTCAAATAGAAATGTTTAAGGTATGTCATTCATGAAATTTGATAGATCAAGGATTTTATGAAAGGTATATTTTTGATAAGTATTCATATAGTATGAATTAAAATCGCAGAAAATAGGGGCCCTTGTGCAGTGGCTATAATTATTTTATTTTACGTAAAAAAGTTTGAATAATATATCATCGAAAAAATATTGCAAATTTATGCGTGTTCATTATTTTGTGACATTGTTGCAATAGAATAGTTTCTTATAAAGTTATGAGTTATGAATGTCACAGGGTGACAATTACTTGTTTTTATTTTATTTAGTATTTTTATTTAGTACAGCTGGTATAGTAAGTTAAGGTAGTAAATAAGATAGATGTAGTAAATCCCTTTCATTCATTCATTCATACCTGGTCATTCATTGTCATCGTGTTTGTATTGCATTCTTGTTTGTCCGGTGTTCCGTGTCACGTGATTGTCTTGTGGTCTATTATTATCCTGGGTGTGAGTGGTAGAACCAGTATGTATGGGTTGTGGTAGTTATGTACGCATGTGTGAGTCCTGGTATATATACTTATGCACGGACTATCCCTTTTTAATCTTGACGATACATTGACGATAATTTGAATGTTCTCCTGCGAGAAATCCAGTAGCAGTTTGTTTAAGAAATTCCTTACGGAATCTTAGTGCCTTAATTGATGTGACTGGTAAGAATAATTTAATATTAATACTGATTTTAACTATTGAAATTAAATAAAAATTAGTGGGTGTGAATTTGTACGAGTGTGTCATTTTCATTGCAGGTCACCTTTGTTTGTTCGTCCGTTCATACTTCATCTATCATCGTAATTGTCAGCTAATAAATTAAGTGAACCTTTATTGAGGAACTTTTGTGTTGTGTTATAATTCCCTGAGATTGGGAGACCCGTGACATGAATGAGACCCATATTTGATATTCCTAGAATGTCATAGCAAAAAATATTTCCCGGGTAAAAGTATGTGAGACAAAAGTTCCAAGACACTAAACTGAATAAATGTGCAGATTTGAAGAATTTTGCGAAAATATTATACCCCAAAATTAAATAAAATTTAGCTTTTTTGTGAATTCCAATTTTTTATTGAACGTTGAACAATTTACATCGTTTAAGTCAAATGTGTAATAAAAAATGAATTATAATAAAATAGTTTCAAGGAATGTTTTGCCTGAACTTTTCTAAAATGTTGACGAGTGACAAACCTTAATATCGATTCTTGAAAACTCACTTATTTGTTATATTAAAGAAATATCTTTTTTTAATTTATGGCTACCTACCTTAGCTTCATGCCAAGACATTTGTTCCTGACTGACTAAATAGCAGTTGTCTGAATAATAAAGCCAGCCGTGGTTACAACCTTAAATAGTAATAAAAGATTCACAATATTAATTACATTGTTCCAAAACCTTTGTTCTTGTTAATATTTTCTATGTTAACAAAAGGTACCCTTAATGGTATCTTTTAAAAAAAAGCTATCTTTTTTTAAATTATATATTTTATCTCCAGTGATTGGCATTCATATAATTTTGAACTTCATCTAACTTTTGAACTGGTTAAACTTAAATGATTTAATTTCTAAAAGAGGAAAATGTAATAATTTAGATTTTTTCTAAAGATTAGGGCATTGTTGACGTTTATCTCTTTTTTATTTATTCACAACGCAGAGCGTTGTATCTTTTGTATTTTTGTAGACAATGAGTGTCATAGGTTCAAGAACTCAATTCTTTTTAGCTCTATTAGCGATTTCTTTCTTTCAGGTGAATGACAAACTCTACAGACAACTTTCAATTGTAACTAAATAAATAATAAATTTTAATCATAAACAATTGTGATTCTTATGAGTTTGAAGATTATCTTAAACTATTTAATCTTTAGATTTCATTGTTTTTTTCCTTCTTTTATGAAAAAAGAAATTATTATCAATAAAGAGATTTTGAATGAAATCGAGGATTGGTTAATTTTCTCTTAAATGTTTAATAAAGATATCATTGGAACCATTACAATATGAATTCTAAGCCATTTATATGTTGTTCTTCAGAAATATTTTGTAGAAGGATATGGAGATAACGAACAGCAATCAATATCAAAGTCCATAAAATAATACAAAATAGGATCAGAGCAAACAAAGGCCTCCGAAACATCAAAGGTGGGATCAGGTGCCATGGAGGAGTGAGCATCCTCCTAGAAATATGGCTAAATAGGGGGAACCAATTATAAAATGAATTCTACGAATTCAATGATAAAATAAATCTTACTGATATTCTTCCAAAACTCCCAACCGGATTGAACATCGTAGACAATGGATCCGGTAGGATGATTTGTTGGTAGTGTACAATATTTGGTCAAGGCGTTGTAGAAAATTCCTGTACATGCAAGCTTGTTAATCAAGCATTTTAGAGTGCATTCAATCCGCCCAATATCCTCCAGTTCGGTAAAAAAAGCTTTCTAAACTCGGTAGACGGTTGTCGTACTCAGATAACTTAATCAGCTCCATCATGTGTATCATGTTCATATTCGTGTTACATCTTACAAACCACACGGTAAGGATAGACAATAGTAATAAGATTAAAAGAAAACCATGAAATGTACTCTCCTTCATCGTGGTACAAAAATATTATATGCTAAAAAAAATTACTCGTACTCTTCGATCCCTTTTACATTCAACATTAATACTATGCTTAATACAACCCATTTTTTATGCAGAGAAGAAATTACATAAAATATGAAACGGAAACAAACAATTTACGCCCTTATTCTAATGCGTCTTTTGACGCCATTGGTAATACTAATTAGATGTATGTTACAACCTTAACCTCCCAATTGTTAACACACCTGGTTTGATGAAAATTGATTGAAAATAACAAACATTAAACATGCTTATAGGTCAAAATAAATTACAAAAGACAAATGTTAAATACATGTACAGCAAAGACGGTACTATGAAAAAAAAAACAACAGAAGTTGCATTGGTTTGTATTTAACATTGCCAGAGGTATCCAGTTCTTTTTCATAGTTTCGGTTCCCCTTTGTTCATGACTCGCTGAATAAATGTCAATCAACTGGTTTATTTTTCTTAAATGATATCCAAATAAAGGGGGAGTTTCGATAAGGCCGTTTCTCGGCCCACTTATTTTCATAAAAATAAATTTCAATTTATTTTTTCAAAATTAGTTTAGAATTAAAGACGAATATCTTAATTTTTGTTATTAATATTTTAAAAGTTAATATGAGATAAATTCACACCGTAGCCGACACAAACTTAGATGTACCCGCAAGTGCGTTAACATTAGGCCTATGGGAAAATATAAGAGGGTGGCATTTATAAATCGATTTTTAGAATATGAAGTGCATGAGGGACACTCACCTAGTTTTGCCCAGTTATTAGATATGCCCTGCACACTAATAGTTTACAATAGGATGAGTGTCGCGTGTGTACTTCATATCCAAAAATTGAAAATTGTCTAAAATTTGCATAACCTAAAATTAGAACCTTCTGGTTACTTGATCATACACCAGGTTAAAATACTAAGCCAAAACTAGCACATTTTTTAAAATCAAAGATAATTCTCGAAAATATTAACAATAGAATACATTTTCGGATACTGTCTTTATTTCTATACTTATTTCGTCGCCAGCATATAACGTTAACGTCTCATTTTTAGTTCAACTACACGGAACAGGGGGAGTTTTCTGAATATCGTCGGCATTAGCGTTCCCAGTTAAATATTTTTCAAGCAGATATTTTTTTATATCATTTAGTCCCTTGACCATTAATTCCTTGTCATCTGTCGGGTTTCAGATGCTGTGTTTTAAGCTAATATAGGTCGAGGTCAATGTTTTTAAAGTAAGTTAAAGTTTTTTTTAGCAATGCCACTATAAGTACTTGATGACCAGACGTGCTTCTTGATGTATCTTCGGATGCACAGTACCAGACTTGGTTCGGATGCTGGGTCTGACTTACATTTCACTGATGAATGCTCAGAGTAAAAGCTTGACTAAACATGCACCGATGATACATTTAGGGTTGCACATTACCAGAAATGGTATAGATCACCCATTCTCAATATAAGGGCTCAAATAATGTCGCCTCATTTTCATTTAAAAGAAATACCACTGATGTAATTTCTAAATCAACATTATAAATAGTCATATAACAATGAATAAGAATTCATATAATTATCGATCTGAAAGGGTATTTAAGGAGTTCCAAATTCAAATATAGTAGCCTATTTGAAATGTACGTTACTGTCGCCGAGGCAAATTTTATTCTGAATCCCCTCTGTGTAATATATAGTTTTGATTCTTAAGTAAAAATTTTCTGATAAGTTAAACCTTGTATCATATATATTTCTTTTCATAACAATAAATACATTTTCTTTGTGATAATAAATAATTTTTATTGTGCAATGTCCCTGTCGCTTAATTCTATTTCAACCACATTACAAACAAACACAAAGATTATCCACCTGATAGTTTTGTTCTCCTTTATTTATTGATGGGCTAAATTTGAAATTTCAATAGATTAATTACTCCTACTTAGATAATGTAACATGAAATTAAACAATTTGAGCAACTTTTATAAATATGTTTACGGAATGAAAGACATTTTCAATCGTAGAGATAAGAAAGAAATGTACGTTACCTATATTCTTCCATTAAGAATATATATTAAGTAGAAAATATGAGACAACTCTGAATAAGCAACCCATTGTATCCTGTAAACTGGCAAAGACGTTTTGCTTAACACAATTAAAAATTATTTTTTACATGAAAAGTGATCATTTGAAATGTACGTGACTGAAATGTACGTTACCATGAAATTCGAATTAAGTGAATCTCGCACGAATTTTCATGTATTCTCATACTTTCACACACTCGAATGTGTACACAAAGGAAAGTTTCAAAGGTTGGAGGTCGGCTAAATCCCAAAATAAATGAAAAGAAACGTTTCTGCCGAGGAAAAAAATATATTAAGGTCAATTATATGTAATATAATTTTGATACCTGGTATATATTTCTGAATACGAAACCTGTATGATGCATTTCTTATGATATGCAAGTTCAAATAGTATCAATATATTGCGTGTCTAACGTACGCTTGTGGAAGAGAATTGATTTTTATATTTGAAATGTACGTTACGTATGGTAACGTACATTTAACGTATTTCTAACTGACATTTTTAAAAATTTAGTCAATGAATTGCGTTTACACGAGCGAAACAAAATTTTTGTTACAATCCATTTGACAACTGGCCACATAAATCCATCATGCACCCCTAATCCTCGTAAATGTGGTAGACTGTTACCACATGCTAGAAAATTTATTTCTAAGTGTCTTAAATTCATCTTTGGCAACTTTTTTGCAGTTTGTTTACTTTTGATATGCGACTTTTCGTCAATATTAATTTAATTGTTGTTGATAATTTAAAACAAGGTATGCATAGGCTTATAATTGGTAAAAAAAGAAACAAAAAATAGAAAAAAGAAACAAATAGGCCTAAACCCAGAACACAAGACGGTCACGTACATTTCAAATACTGAAAGGCACACAATACTCAGTTTTGCTTGAATCATTGCATTTTGGGTTATATTTTTCCAGATCTGCTGAAAAGCGCGTATGTTTGTGTTTTGAAAAACGATGTTGCAACATACTAAATGAAATTGTTAACAAACTGTCGATGGATATATTCGGAATAGATTTATGCTAAGTTTCAATGGCCAAACACGAGCATTTGTTAGATCATAGCAAAATACGTCTGACTCTTATATTTTTTTGTCTGTACCTTGCACATAGGTAGAAGTAACTAGGCTACGACCGTTGTCAATTTCAGCGAAACAGCACAAAAGAATGGTAATGAACTGAGGTGGAGGGGACTCTCCAATAATATGTGAAATGAACGTTACCGAAGTGACGTGACATTCATGTAGTTGATGACAAATAACCTCGTTTGTTACATTATGATTTCTTATATTACTGCCTTAAAACGCTTCATTGAAATGATTTTTATGTCAATAATTGCTTTTTTTTCAAAATTTTCTTATTACTAATTTACATATTATTACAAGCTTGAAATGTACGTTACCTACTCATATTCTGAGGCAATCGTGTCTTTATAATGGTGATTGCGACATATAACACAATGTGATTACATAGAGAATCTTTTTTTAATAAACTGAAACAAAACGATGAATTTTTAGATGAATTATAATCTTTTTATTAAACAGAAATATATCTTGAAATGTACGTTACATTTACGTAGTTTTCTAAATCGGCATGGATATATGTTAAAAAAGACAGTAACTACAAAATAGAATTTTACTACATGTACATGGTAGGTTCCAGTATCTATAGAAAATGACAAGATTCAAAACTGATCGCTCTAAACAAAACAGAGAGAAGAATTTAAAGCATATATTTAAAAAATGTTTTTATACATCTGGATCAAAAAGTAACCATTGTTTTTTGAAAGGAAAAATCAAACGCACGTTCGTATGCCGAGAAAATAATGTTGCTGACAGAGTTGGTAGGGTGTGCTGGTGTTAAGATGAGCTATTCCAATTGTGATTTTAATGACTACTTTTTTTTTACATATCTTTTTGGACATTGAAGAAAGAGTAACGTACATTTCAAGCTACATTTCTGAATAAAATCACACTCTGCTTTATCGTCTTGTCATTATTCCATGTATTATGATTTGATGAAAAAAAATCTGGAAACAAAATCTTCAGATACTTTCTTTCAAAGGTAATTGATAGAAAAATTGTTTTCTTGAACTTCATTTTTTTAAAAAATCAGAGAGGCATTTGTGCCCTTATATTGAGAATGGGTGAGATGCCGGATCTTACTTTTATTTTCTGACTGATTGAACGAATGAAGTGAAAAGAAGTCCATTCCTTAACGTTCTGTATCAAACATATATCAGGAAAAAATAGTATTTAGCCTTTTTCGAATAGAAACCCTTGCTCCTCTATTCTGCTAGAGAAGGTTCGTTATGTTTTTCCGTGTGGTTGATATTTATGTAGGGAGCGTAATTTTTTTAAAGACTAAATGTTGATTTATATGTTTCTGCAGAATTTTGGTTTTAACACATCTTTGGCATTTATAAATGTATTTTGAACTGCGATCTGGACAAGCACTTACTAAATGTAACTAGAATTGGTGAAGCAAGAACCTAGTTTCAGTTGCTGAGAACATAATGTGCATCTTTAAGTTGTTTTAAAAATACTTCCAACTTTCAGAATGAAATGGAGACACTCAATCTATTTAAGTTTTTTTTTATCATTTGGCTATTTATTCGAGTTAGTATTGCATTACCAATAATAGTTTACTACCTGCAAGTATAACCTGGTTTTAAAATTAAAAAAAAAACATGTAAATTCCAATTCAATAATTCCGCAAAAAAAAAAAAAGTCATTGAAGCGAAACAAAATACAAATATGATCTATTACTGATCGAGGTTAACTCATTTATCAAAACTTAACACAATATTCACAAGCATTTTGGGGAAAAAAATTGACCCCCACCCCACCCCGGTTAAAAAAAAATCATAATTCCGCCAAAAATCAATGAAGCGGAATTCAAACTCGATCTCTAATTCA